AGAACTTTTTATTTCCTACCTGGAATGGGTGACAATAGTTGAATAAACTTTTGGTTCTCAAAATGGTATCGATGTCCAATCAGAGTCACCTATTCCTCTGCCTGCAGTATAAATCTCTCCCTGCTGCAGACAGACGGCATTTATAAAAAGTCACTTGACTGATAGAGTTGTAGCAACTGTAAGTAATCTGATTACAGAAGTGTGAAATAATGTCTGCAGTTTAAGGTTATTTCTAAAACACCCCTTTTGTTTTCCTGGAAATGTATTCGTTAAGGTGATTACTGACTTGCTATGATACGATTCATCATAGTTTGCATTCATTTAAACACAAAATAAAAATCTACAACAGTCGAAGCGTCTGTGCTAAATAAACAGCGGCCAGAAAAATGACACAATCCCCAGAGTGTGTTTGGTGGCAGATATTCCACAATTACATGCAGTCCAACTGTCTGCCAAGTAATCATACACTATTAGCATAATTACTGAGCACCTCATTAATTAACTAAATTAGTCCTGAAAATAGCCCCAAAATAAGCCCAGGATTTAAATATATAAGCCAGAAAGACGAGCAGAGGTGGATCACAGAACAGGCGGTTCAGAGACGGAGGAGGAACCTGGATGTGTTTCTAACTGTTTACTAACCGGTATGCCATCGCCAGGGCCCAGGCGCAGGCAGCACAATACAGCGAGTCTCGGACCTTTGCCTCCTTGATGTCGGAGAAAGTCTTTACAGGGAAAAGACCAGTAGTGGGACTCTGGTAGTTCAGGATGGTTGCTTTGACTGGATGAAAAAAGAGAGAGGAATAGTTAACTCAGTTATTCAACAGTTTGTGGCAGAAATATAGAATGACCCATTAATGTGAGGCTGTTATAAATTGGGGGAAAACATAAAAAAAAAAAAAAAAAATACTACAGAGAGAGTAAACTAATATATAAATCTAATTCTAAGACACCTCCTTAGTGATGGATGGGTGTCATTTACAATTAAAATCCATTTTAATTGTAATTCACACCATATTTAGCCCAAAAGCATGCATAACAAAAACTAAGAGGATCCAACTGCTTCTGATAGAAGACATGATGCAGAGACATGTTGAACTCTAGTCCTATTTAAAACACAAAGCAGTGGCTGAAGCAGTTATGCTTAATGAAACTACATCTTAGCAAAACTTGGCATTAAACTGTTTTAATTTGGATTATTTTATGTTTTGTTTCTTCTTTTAGACCGGAGCTTTTATGCTCAAACATTTCACTGAAAGAACTGGACTAAAAAAGAACAAACAGACCCTACACACCAACAAATTGTCAGTAATTGAGGAGCCATTTTAATATATTTTAATACTATTTTACTGTTAGTTGGTGAAGATTCTCAGTCATCCAGGTCGTAGACATTCCAAAAAAAGTAAAAAAAAAAGAAATCAAACCACTGGACTTCCCATCCAAGAAGCTTTTACGATTCAAAATGTCTGGATTAGCGATGAGTTCCAGGCTTTATAGTGTAGCCCAACAAAGTCCATTAGGTGTAGATGGATACCTTATGGACAAAGGACATTTACGGACCAGAATGTTCACATTTTGGACAAAGAAGACACGTGAAGGAAGCCATTTATGCTAAGAGAGAAAAAACAACCTTTAACAGAGGAGGTGGACTCAGGTTCCAGCTCTAACAAACCTACAACGCAGTGATAGAGTTGATTCCTTCCCATTATTATCTCAATCCTCATCACCATGCAGCGGACCAACACGTCTCGCCTGGTCAGCCAGGCCAATAATGACTCTAACACCTTCCCTTTTCAGAGGCATATTAGAAACCTCCTATTGACAGATCTCCCAGCCAATCACATTCGACTTATGTACAGTGCGTTTCATATATCCATATTGGGTATGGAAGCCTAAGAAAGACCTCAACGCCTCCCCATTACTAAGAGGTGGACCTGTTCTTCCGCTTCATTTTGCATGTTTTCTAACCGATAACAAGGCTTTATTTCGACCACTCTATTAAGCTTGGAACTCAACGCTAATCCAGACATTTTGAATTGAAAAAGCTTCCTAGACGGGAAGCAAACATCATCAAACTTGGAAAACAACGTCCTTTGTTTTGACGTTTTTGGAATATTTTACTCTTACTTCATTTATTTCTTGGATTACCATCTATTTAACTTAAGTGAAAAGATTTAAAGTAGCTCTACTCTTACTTGAGTAAAATCTATGGGTTTCTTCCAAACTCTGCTTATTTAAAGAAAAACTGACTTAGATTTGAATGTGTTCTTTGTAAAGAGATTTCAAAAGAACACAAAACGGTTCTCCTCTTCTTATGGAAGCTAATAAAATATGCTGCAGTAAAATTAATTAAGGGATAAAAAAAGTCGTTTTTATTTTCTTAATGCTGGTTGAAGAAGGTCAAAGTTGACTTTCTTATGCAAACTTCCAGCTTCTCTAAGTCCTGCTGAGTTTGACAGCTGAATCAGTCTGTAGCATAAATGAAGAATGTGTATTTAGGATTTAATGGCTTCCTTCAGGACATGTGGACCCTGCTTGGTTGACATTAGGACGCCTCAGATCTAAGTGTGTTGGCTCTATGCTGAGAGCAGAAACTGGATTAGTAGTTAGAGCCGCTGTTAGCAATTTTCTGCTTGTGTCTAAACGATGCCATTTCCTTTTCTCAGCTTCTACATCCAAACCAAAAAGGAAATTAAGAAACAAACCCCAAAAAGACTTCCTAATTTTGCTCTTTTTTATGACAACAAACAAACAAAAAAACACATTGTCTCGATAACTAAAAACAGAAATAACAGCTAAAAAAATGTAGCATCCATGTGAATCACTCAAGGCATTAGATGGCTTAAAGCAGGGTCTTCAAAGTTTTCCAGGCCAAGGACCAAGGATGGAGAGGTGGAGCGGGAGCCCCCTAATTATATATAATGTATGAAAGTTTCTTAGATCAAACTGGTCCTATAGTCACTCTATTACAGACGGTGTCATGTAACCAAAGTAATTTTAGTATTTCTTAATCAGGTTCCTGGTTGATGGGCCAGGTGTTGTGAATGAAACGGTGCCCAGCTTGAAAGAGCTCCTGTGTGTCGCTGAATGTGAGAATTGATGACTGAGAGACATCTTCTGCCTCCATTTATCTGTTTACTAAAGTCTGTTGAATTCATGTTAATGTGGATTTAAAGACATTTAATTAGTGGAAAAAATTGCAGGGGGGACCCCCATGCAGTACCTCCATGGACCCCCTAGGGGTCATGGACCCCTTGTTAAAGTCCTTCGGTTTAAAGTATAAAGCTGCCCATTGTAAATAAAGAAAAAAAAATGCTTTCTTCTTCCCCTTTGCTAAATATCTGTTCTGTCAGATCGCATTTACATGGTTTCTTTAGGGTGAAAGCACGGCTAGCAGAACAATCCAGCTTCTTGTTGCATGTTTTTTAATAACAGATTATGTAAAAATATCAGGTAGTGCAGGCAGATGGTAAACCCTCTGATCAGGTGAATCACATTTGTTCAGATTTACAAAACTAATTATTTATTGGACAGTTCATCTACTTCCATCTATCCATTCATGGTATTTATTTACAACACATGTTGCCTCGTGTCGAAAAACATTAAGAGATTTAGGAACTCTTATTTATTTTTTTCTGAACAGTTACAACTTTGTAAAAAATGAGAGACAAAACATATTGTTTGAAATCTTCCAAATGCTGTCACCGAAAAAAAATATTTTGTAGTTTCCAGATTATCATTATTGAATAGAAACACTTGGGTGAACAGAAGAAAGAAAAACTGATGAAATCTGAAAGGAATGTTTAATGATGGCACCTTTTGTGTATTATCTTATCAAGGTTCTGACATTGCTGCAACTCAAAATCAACTTTTAAAAGAGAATTTCAATGAGTGGAAACCAAAATTTTGTATTTTAAAAAGTAAAGTACCTGTCGGATGCTGAAAGAATATTTTGCTTGGTATACATTTGTTTTGTTTTTCTTTATTTTGATGATTAAATGGGCATCAAGAAACAAAGAAGTTCAGTTTTTAGCAAAGGCACAATAACTGCATAACAATTAATTCTGAGAAATTTCAAAACAACATATTTCTATTTAGTAAAACTCTGTAATTATAAATAATAATATTTATTTCTAAATGACTGTGAATCAGTGCCTTTTTATAATGAAATTAGCTGCATTTTCCAAGAACATCTTTGTTAAAACTAAATTAAAATACAGTTGGTACAGAAAGTATTCAGACGCCGATGTAATATTTCAGTTTTTCTTTTTTAATAAATTTGCAAAAATGTCTACATTTCCCTTTTTTTCTGTCAATATGGGGTGCTGAGTTAGCCTCGTGAGACCACCCTGATCTCACGAGCTTTCAAGGTTTCACTCGCTAATCAGTCTGGAGACTCTCCGTTAAAGAAAATTTGGAGCCGTTCACCAAACGAACGTCCAATCAGCGTTGGCTTTGAGGCGGGTTGAGGTGTGACGCAACGAGAAGCGCGACAGTTCAGTCTAAAGAACATGGCGGCTTCAGCCGATGAAACTAGCGTTAGCGTGGCTATCGAGCAAGTTTTATCGGAATTACAGAGTATTTCTTCACTGAAAGAAGAGCAAAACACTGCTCTGGAGGCTTTTCTCAGAGGAAAAGATGTTTTTGTTCTTCTCCAGACTGGTTTCGGCAAGAGTAGCCTGGCTTGTGGTTGTGTTTTCGTCGTCGCTCTGTTAGTACGTCATATGCTTCGTTGATCTGATTGGTTTATTTGGCCCGTCTATCACCAACATAGGCCAATCAGCTAACCAGTATTTTCGCCCCTTCCCAAAAAAATTACTTCGGAAGGTTCCCAGATGGATATGTGGAGCAAATCCATCTGGCGGAGTCAGGTTAGTACTGAGTGTACATTAATGAGAAATTAAATTGACCTTTTTGATTTTAGCAAATGGCTGCAATGAAACAAAGAGTGAAAAATGTAAAGGGGTCTGAATACGTTCCGTACCGTCTGTATATAGACGGACATAAAAATGACTTGGTTCAATTAATCCTTTCGAGTTTAGGACCAACAAGAAAAGCAAAAACACAATTTCTTTATTAGGTTCCTCTGGGATTGTTAAATGATATATATTTAATAAAAATAAACCTATTCAGGTTTTCAACAAAGTGTGAATAAAGTGAAGGGTTCATATATAACCGGAGCAAAGTACCTTATGTGTAGTGGATCAGTGCTAATCGGCCCGCTGGTATTCATTTTAATCCCCAGTTTCCTTCTAAGATAGTAAAAGTAGCAGCATCAACAAATCATCCTAGTTTTCCCTGAGAGAACGGAAAACCACAGCAGATAATAGGGAGAGTCTTCTGTCTGGAAATAATGGGGCTTAAAACACATTCATCTGGGGCTTTATTAAGAAAATCTGGCTCCTGTCGGGGATAGGGCAAGAATAAAGCCAGACTTTGAATTTAAAAGGCATCCCTCATATTGCTCAGTGAGGAAAGCATAAACAGAACATGTGCTGAAATCTAACCCAGTAAAACAAAGAGACGTCTCTGGCAGAGTTCTCCTCGACGATAACTAATGTGCTCAGATGGATGCATTCATTCTTCATCCTAACATTATTCTGCTGCTAATGAAAAGCCCCCCCCCACTACGGTTGCACTTTGATTCAGGACCAGAGAGAGAAATCAAGACTGACTGCAATAGAAACAGAGGTCAGACATGATGATGAAGATGTGTCGAGTCTTTGTGTGTTTGTGTTTGCATGACAGAACCAAGCAGGGACAGAAAGGATGCCTGGGTATCTGTCTGTATAAACAGTAGAAGTAACGACT